CTTTCTTCCTTTATTACACTTATTCAAAATCAGTTCCAAAAAACCATCAAAACCATAAGATCAGATAATGGCTAGAATTTGTTAACCAAGAGTGCCAACAAATTTTTCATTCTTTTAGCATTGTTCACCAAAGAACATGTGTCTATACTCCTCAACAAAATGGGGTAGTTGAGAGGAAGCATAGACACCTTCTAGAAACAACTAGATCCCTCATGTTCCACTCAAAAATCCCTTTGTTCCTGTGGCCAGAATCATTACTTGCTGCTACTAGAGTTACAAACTCAGTGATGAATTAGAAAACACCTTATGAGATGTTGTATGGACATGTTCCAGATTATTCTCTCTTGAAACCTTTTGGGTGCCTTATCTTTGCAGCTAATATATATCCTCATAAAACCAAGTTTACTACCAGATCATATAAATGTGTGTTACTGGGTTTTGAGAGTGGGGTTAAAGGATACAAATTGTACAACATGGACACAGGAAAATTATTGTTAGTAGAGATGTCCAAATCTCAGAGGATATTTTTCCTTTTCATCAGGAACAACCACATGACCAAACACATATTCCTTTACCATCTATTCTAATAATTGAAGATGATGGTCTTGTTATTCTTATTACAAATCCCAACCAACCAACAAACTCTATTCCTTCCACTAGACCTACCAGAACCAGAACAAAGCCAACTTGGCTTGATGACTATGTGACATGTTCCTCCACTGCTCATCTTCCATCTTCTAACATTACTCAATCTTCTGAGGTTCTTTGCACAGGTAATCCCATTTCTTCTCAAACAGCATTCATAACACATTCACCTGATTATATTGCCTTTTTACACAATGTATCTACTGTCCAAGAACCTGCCACTTATAATCAAGCAAAGGCTAATGCAAAGTGGTTTAAGGCTATGCAACAAGAGCTTGATGCTCTTGATAAAAATGATACTTGGGATTTAGTGCAGTTGTCACCAGGAAAGAGACCTATTGGAAATAAATGGGTCTATAAAGTGAAGAGAAAGGCTGACGGGACTGTTGAAAGGCTCAAGGCCCGGTTGGTAGCAAAGGCTTACACACAAACCTATGGCATAGACTATGTGGACTGCTTTTCCCCAGTAACCAAACAAGTGACTGTGAGGCTATTCCTGGCTATTAGTGTTGTAAAGGCTTGGCCGCTGTGTCAAATAGACATCAACAATGTCTTCTTACATGGCCATTTAAAGGAAGAAATTTACATGGAGTGTCCACAGGGGTACTCAAAGCATAAGGTTGGTGAAGTTTGTAAACTTAAAAAATCTTATATGGGCTTAAGCAAGCCTCCAGAGAATGGAATCAAGAATTTTGTGGGAATCTGTTATCCTATTGGTTCATTCAATCACAGCATGATCATTGCTTGTTCACCAAGTCCACAGGTAAGGACTTTATTGCACTACTAGTGTATGTTGATGATGTCCTTATTATGGGCCCAAGGCTGGAATTAAATGAAAGTTGAAGGCTCATTTAGATGAAGTGTTTACTATTAAGGACCTAGGATTTGCTAAGTACTTATTGGGGATTGAGATTGCCAGGGGAGAGAATGGCACTTTTCTGAATCAAAGGAAATATATTCTTGACTTGTTGCATGATACGAAGATGGACCACAACAGAACTGCTGTCACTTCTTTCCCTCATGGTTTGGTCTTAAAATGTAAAGACGGAACTCCTCTAGCAGAGGTTGATTTTTATAGAAGATTGGTGGGGAGGCTATTGTACCTGAATCTTACCAGGCTTGATATTTCTTTTGTTGTGCAACAACTCTCTCAGTTTGTCAATGACCCTTATTCTTCACATTGGAGTGCAGCCATGCATGTTCTTAGATACCTGAAAGGCACACCTTCTCTTGGTTTGTATTATCCAGTTGCAAGTGACTTTAAATTCACAGCCAATTGTGATGCTGACTGGGGAGCTTGTCCAGATACTAGGAGGTCTTTGACAGGTTTTTGTATCTTCATGGGTTCTTCTTTAGTGTCTTGAAAGACAAGAAACATACCACAATTTCTAAATCTTCAGCTGAATCAGAGTACAGAGCATTGAGTTCTACCACTTGTGAATTGTAGTAGTTAGTGTATGTTTCCCAGGATCTGCAACTTCAAATCACTTTGCCTATACCTTTGTTATGTGACAACCAATCTGCTCTATACATTGTGGAGAACTCGGTCTTCCACGAGCGCACTAAGCATTTAGACATTGACTGTCATTTGGTTCGACACAAGTTTAAGGAAGGTCTTCTTGCTCCCAGTCATATTCCCTCTTCACAGCAAGTGGCAGATGGCTTTACTAAGGCTCTTGGTGGCTCACCTTTCAAGTCTATGGTTTGCAAGTTGGGATTAACAAATTCCATTTGTCATCCCACTTGAGGGGTGTGTGTTGAATATGTGATCTATGTTTTGGCTTTATCATTTTTCTATTTTTCCTTGGTTAGTTGTTTTGCAGCAGGTTTATATAGGCTAGTGTATAGTTGCTCGCTTTCATAAGTAAAAGCGTGTTTTTCTGTTTTAGTATAAATATGTAAACCGTTCAACATTTTGAGTGAGAAATATACCATTTGAAAATTTTCCCCAAAATATCTTTTTTCTTCCTGAACTTCAACAAAATTTAAATCAAACAATCAACATATTGATTTCATAATCAATATATATATATAT